TGACAAATTTTGAAAAATGTTCAACAAAAATTTACCAAAGATTGCGTCCTTTTTTAAGACTAAATTAGCCACTTCAGGTTTTCTATTTGAAATAAGGTGCATTTTATACCTTTATTTTGAGAAAATAATAGCACTCCAAATTTTTATTTAAAATTTTGCCTCTTATGTCATGAAAAGCGAAAAAGTTTATCCTTTCACGATAAATAATCACGGTTTTGACTTTTTTAGTAAGAGTAGTTGTATCGGCAATGGTAAAATGGGAAATTTTGTTCAAAAATTTTCGTTTTAAAAGTATCCAAATTATTTTACTGAATTAAAAATAAACATCGAGAATGCCGTCCTCGATGACGTCGCGATTAAAAAAATTCAAAAAAATGCGAAAAAAGAAAATGTCTTTTTTTTATACGGGATAAATAAAAAGAAAAGAAAGGGGGACACGGCTCTTTGACCGTTTTACGATCGTCTTCTTCGTCGTCCATAAGTAAATAATTCGTTCGGCCACCATTTCCACACCCACTCTGACAGTGGCGAAGCTTTCCTTGCTCGCTTCCTTCCTTCCTTCCTTCCTTCCTTCCTTCCTTCTTTGATCGCCGGTGCAAGCGTTCGATCATGGTGCGCGCGCGCATCTCCCCAGTCGCCCTCTCGTCTCTCGGTCCCGATCGCGGTGTCCCGCCGACGTGTGGCGATCCTCTCTCTGAACCGTGTTTTTGTGTGTGTCTGTTGTTCACAGGCGGCGGCGGCGGTCGGTGGCGGCGGCGGTGGTGCTGCTGGTGCTGGTGCTGGTGCTGGTAGCGGGGCGGGTGCGGCGTCGAAGCTGAAGCTGTACAACTACTGGAAGAGCTCCTGCTCCTTCCGCGTCCGCATCGCCCTCAACTTGAAAGGTCTCGCAGTGGCTTCTTCTCAGCCCCCCCACTTTCTCTCGCGCGCCTTTATGTTTTCGTGCTGTTCTGTTGCGATTGCTGGCGTGTTGATATGGAATCCGAGCTTCGGATGTCGTTTCCGCGGCGTTTTATTTAAATTCTTTGTTTCTTGGGTGTGACTATTTTTTTTTTTTGGAGGGGGGAGGGGGTGGGGAGTTTATGGTGCTGCGCTTATTTAGTGTTTTAGAGGTAATTTTGTTTGAATTATACCCTGGTGCGACTTGATAATGATGGTGGTGATAATTTTTGGGATTTGAAGGACTTGAGTACGAGTACGTACATGTACATTTGGTGAAGGGGGAGCAATTCGGTGCAGGTGAGTCCTCCTTTGGCTGTTCCCTCTGTTTTTGTTTTTCCCCTGTTATCCTGAGTTAATGCGGTGCTCTGGTTGTGTTTATCGTTTGCTTTATCCTTGGAAGGCCTATGGTTAAGCTATTACTGCATTACAATCGGCTTGCACGAGCATGATGGGCATTGTCGAATATGGTTGTAATTCCCATCTGTTGGCTGGGCGATGGGATGGAAAACTTGTCTCACCATGGTTATGTTTTCCAATCCGACTGTATGGAGTAATCTGTCAACTTATGGTTTTCAACATTTAATGTGTTAGTTCTTTCCGCCAGCAGTGGAATATTTATCTCTAAGGGTGGTTGAAGAAAGTCTTACACAGTGAATCTGATGTCAAGATTACTGGAATACCCCATATAGACTGAGAAGCAATGATGCTGGGTGTGGAGAGTTTACAAAAGACTTCAAGGAGATTTTTTGAACTCTCTAATGGTTTTCTATATGTTTTCGTTTTGGCTCTCTTTGTTTCCTCTATAGCCGTCCGAATAATTTATCTATTGGCACCAATTGCGTTGTCATGTATGACCCAATTTGTGTTTAACTGTGTCATAAGTTCCTTCCAGAAAAAAAGATGTGCTTGCACTTACTTACCTTTGAGCAGTGTGAGATCATCATAATCTACCAAATGAGGTCATGCTGCCAGTTACTTCTCCTGACATGATACTGTGAGAATGTTATTCTGTCATATGCCTTGCTGCATATACCCCGCTTTACATCCTTTCTTTTCGGGAAATTTATTTTACCTAAAGGACAAAGAGACTCTGTATTATAGCAAGGGTAACAAAGACATGTCTGTTTGTCAGTTACCCGGCTGTGACATTCTTTGATTTCCGAAGTACTAGGTAGAAGCAAGTTTACCTTTTTGGCTTGGCAGCAGGCAGTCAAGTCCTCCATATTCATGATTGGATATAGTTCTTCTCACTGCTGTTTTGCTTTTTCTAACGGTAGAGTTCTCAAAGCTTAATCCAATTAGTTATGTGCCTGCGTTGGCTGATGGGGACTTTGTACTGGCAGACTCATTTGCTATCCTTATGGTGAGAATTTGCAACTTTCAACTCCTTCACATATCATATTACTGGGCATAGAGGACCCTTCATCATTTTATAGACTTTCTTGTGTAGGCTGTGGCCTGTAATGTGTCCTTTATGCCTTGCAGTATCTAGAAGAGAGATATCCTCAGCACCACCCACTGTTGCCCGGTGATTTGAAGAAAAGGGCAATCAACCATCAGGTAAAAAGGTTATTACTTTTGGAGGCTTTTCCTTGTCTTCCATGTCTATCTGTGAAGAATCTAGCAACATCATAAATGCCTTAATAAGTTTTAAATTGTTCCACTGGCTTTTTGTTGCGTGTGGATCTATAAGGTGATTGCCTGGTCAATGACATGAATAAACCTTCAGTCGAAATCTGTTCAGGCATACGACTTTACCAGAACTTCCAGTTCCAGCATTAAAGGCTGGTTATAACGGTGACCTCAGTCTTCTTTTTTTTTTCCCCTCAAAACAATACACCAAATCATCATTTTTCTGCTAAACTTTTGCCAAATTTTCTTAAGTTACCTAAATTTTGGTTGAACTATATCTGTAACTGCCTTGGGGGTTAGGCCAGATCCACCAGCTATAAAATTCAGAGAGTAGGACAAGGATTCTGGCTCTGTGGGTGGTGACAACTGAGGAATTCATTCGCTGGTTGACACTAGGCTGAGGTGCAATAGGGAGATGACAGGGAGATGAAGTACCTATATATTATGACATATGTCAAGACTGACAAACAGCAATGATTGGAGAATAGATACATGATGTGTTTTTTCATGTTGACTTTCTATTCTTTCTATATGATCTTATGGCTTCTTTTTCTGTGGAGTAACTTGGTCTTTATTGTTTAGGCTGCAAATATTGTTTCTTCAAGCATACAACCTTTTCAGAATCTCTATGTTCTGGTAAATATCTGAGGAAATTAATTGTTCCTCTCAGTAGCTGCTTTCAATATACGGGAATGTGACCGAACAACTGTTGCATCACAGAAATTTCTTGAGGAGAAAGTTGGTCCCAGTGAGCCGCTTGTTTGGTTTCAATTTCACATTGGAAGAGGCTTTTCAGGTACATTTTAGTATTATTGATAACTCTGCTGATCTCCTTTGCTTTTTTTCCCCGTCAATTTTTTTCTTTTTTCTTTATTTTTTTTTGTGTAAGGGGGTGGGGGAGAGGGGTGGTGGGGATGATGTCTTCCTTTCTGATAGCATGACCGTATGTGCACAAGTTGTGAAGGTCAGCTAGGTGATAGCTTTCCCTTGAGCGGATGCTTTGCTGATTTTTGGTTGATTTTCCTTCTGCATAATTGGAGCGGTTAAATTTATAAGCAATTTAATAGTGAAATAGTTTAGTATAGAAAAAATAATTATACGCAAGAGGAGGGAACCTCCTAGTTGCAGTTATATACACCTTATAAATTGCCACCATTGCCACAGTTCCTTGAACAAAAAGTCAGGCTTGTCTAGATGTGTGATCAACTGAAGAATGTGTTTCATGAATATATCAAATTGAGAATGATCGGTCCTGTCTGATAGTGGTGAAAATCCAGTGCTTAGTCCTGTTAAATATGAGAACCTCTTTCAAGGGAAGTACCACAGTCTAAATTTGTCTGAGGACTAATTCAAGCTAGCTCTTGTTACTTGAACTTGACTTTGCGTAGGAATGAACAGAAGAGTAAGTTCTACACGGTTTTATTAACATTTGAGAAGAAACTTTCCTAATTGATACTTGGTTAGGCTAATTCTCTGCTGAGTCCTGTTCAATACATATTCCAATTTCAATAAGGACACCAGATTCCAACTATAATGATAGGCTCCTACTGGTGTAGCATGTAATGCAGCTTAATCTAGGTTAGATTCCCATGGTTTTTCCCACATCGCACTGTGCTCAGTGTGCAGTCCATTTTCTTCACCCTTCATTTCTGAAACCATTATTGGATAATTGATTCTTGTAATCTGTAATTATGGTCCATTACTAGTATTGCATGAAGTGAAGCTAAATCTAGGGTTGCTATTGCTATAATATTCCCCATGCGATTGTGCAGTACGCTTTTTCTTCACTGTTCTTGTCAAAGGCCATTTCTGATTCCTCTAAACAAAGAGTCTGAAAGTTCGTTCTGATATATCGCAAAACCTATGTTTGGAAACATGTGTTTAAAGTTGCAACACCTGGAAATTGGGTGAAACTGCAACTGTTGGGTGTTGCAGCTGTGAAGTGTTGCCTAACACCGCAGAAAAGCTGAAGCACCTCCTTTCAAAGTGGTAATCACTGGACATAGCTATACCAAATGCCCTATGAGTATATTCAGTTCTTTCTTTCTAGCTTCGTTTGCTTGCGATTTTTCTTCTTTATCAGTTCATTTTTTGTTACATAAGTTGGAATTCCAATTTATGGTGAGGCATAGAACAGTTCTGATCGTTTTTAGCTGGTTTGTCATGACTAGATATCTTTTGGGTGCTGAGTTTGCTTCACGTTCAAATGACATTGTACTGGATGGAATTTCTTGAATTCTCGATTGTTCTTGTTTTATTCTGTTGAAATAATGGATGAAAAAATTCAACTTTTAGAGTGGTAAAAGTCATGCTTACGTGTTTCAGCACTTGAGAAGGTATTAGCAGACCATGCTGGAAAATATGCCACGGGAGACGAAGTTTGTCTGGTTTGATTTCTGGGCTCCATCTCTTTGCTGAAAGCTTCCATGTTTTTGTTCCATCTTGTTTGTTTTCTATTCTTTGTCATGGTCAAATTTTCAGGGCTGTTCACAGATCCATTATACCTGTTCCTCCTCTCTCTTTCTAGTGCATCATTAGGTTAATGTTAGGCAAATTGACACATTATGAAGCTCATGTGACTTCACACGTTTGTGCCAGAATCACGAACTGACCGTTGGAAGAAGAAACCCCCATACTGTATCACTACTAATGTTAACTTTTTTTTTTTTGTTAAGGACTACTAATGTTAACTTTTATAAGCTCATTTTTGAGAAAAGACACTTTTATAAGCTTCTCTGTCTTCCGACCTCAGTAGAATTTGGTGCTCAGTTAGCTGTTTATGCTGCAAATGGTCCGAAGTCAAAAGTTCTTCTGGTCCTTAAAGGAAAATGAGTAAAAAATCTAGGTTCACTATACCTGTTTAATGAAAGATAGATCGTATGCTATGCTGATGTCTGTTGCACTCCGATGGAGAGCCATAATGAGTTCTCTTACCCAGTCTGTAGACTAAAAAGCTTGCCATCATGTTCTATTTGTTCTCCTTGGAAGTGATCAAACAAATCATGTGTAGGCCGATGTTTTCCTGGCACCCCAGATTTATGCGGCTGTCCAGTGGTTCAATGTTGACATGGTAATTCTCTTGCCTAAGCTTGCATAGTTCATATCATATGGAGTTCGGAAATAAATTCCTTCTAAGTTACTCTTCTACAACAAACTTTAAATAAAGAGTGGCACTGTGGATCTGTAATGGTGCAGAACCGTTTTCTGTAATTTCACATTTGCTGGATAACAGAAGGTCCCCATAAACTGCACATGGATAAAACCAATCATTCCGAACTCCATTTATACATGATGGCTGGGAAAAAAAGATAAAAACTCCTGCAAATGGTTGCCCAAATTGTCTTGGTTTATCATGAATCACGAAATATCCAGTTCATTGCTCTTAGCTACTTTTGTAGAGTCAATATCCTATCTTGTCAAAGCTGCACGAGACATACTGTGAGATACCTGCTTTTCGAGATGCCATGCCAGAAAATCAGCCAGATGCTCCTCAACCGCAAGCTTAGCTGACCAATTGGTGTGACTGCGAAATACTAGCTCGGCAGCTGCTTTAAGAATGTAGTGATTCTGAAGAATAATATTACCTGAGCTCACGAGGTATAATGTGTTTTTTTTTTTTTTTGGGTCGAGATGCGGGGAATTATGTTGGATGCCTATATTCAACCACAAGAACATTTCTTTGGCTGCCCTCAACTTTTCATATATGCAACACCTGGTATACTAAGAGAGTTTACTTTGGTCACTCTCTCTCTCTCTCTCTCTCTCTCTCGAATCCTCGTGGACAAAATGACGTACTTTGAGAGTAGAATGTTAGAATGCTAAATCACATTGTCGTATGATTAATGTTTTAATTGGAGCGATCAACGTGGAATCGCAAAGACGGGGGGAGCTGCATGAGTAGACGAGACATTAAGAGATGAACTAAACATATTAAAGACATCATCCTTGATAGGTCATCAGAAAAGCAGTCGTGACTTTGTTTTAGGCCTTTGCCATGCTGATATAGGTGAAAGTTTAGAGTTGATGTGTGTGCGCTCCATGTGAGCTCCATTAGTGGGGCCCACACAATGACGGGGACTACGTGATGAACGGACAAAATGGACCCAATATACTGGACTCGGTTTACGAAAGATTTTTTTCCCTGTGCATGGAAAATACTGAATCTGAATGTATTGAATTTGATTTTTTGGTCGAAACAAGATTATTTCATTTCATCAAGATAAGCTTTAGCACATAAAATGTTCCAAAGGGTTGCGGGAGGGTTAAAGACCTTTGAGTCTTTACAATCCAGTCTGTCACCTTATTTTCTTCCCTATTATAGTGGGCTAAAAGAACATTAGGTAAATGGGCTAGCAGCAGTTTGCATTCGGTAATAAGTGGAGTGGCTTCCCATGGAGAAATATGTAAGCCTAAAAGGCAATTAACCAAAATCAAGTTGTCAGATTCTAGCAGGTACCTCATTTTGTCTTCCTCCCTTCGTGCATGAAGTAGCTTCAGAGTTTCAAGGCAAGCAAGGATTTCCACATTGATAGCTAAACTTGTCCTCACCATTTTAGCGAATCCACCACAATCTTCCCCGATAAATCACGGCAAATACCAATTATGGATCCTTCCGTTGAACCTGGAGTGTAGGATCCGTCAATATTCCACTTGAGAGTCCCTTTCTCCGGTGGTCGCCACGATTTGGGTGAGTGGCTATCCTTCGAGTTGGTGTTCTCCTCCGGTTTAGTCCATCGGCAAATATTCTGGTGCATGGCCATTGTAGAGCTCACCAGGTGCTGCAGATTTGGGGATTGACTTCGAAAAATGAAGTTGTTCCTCCATTTCCATATATACCAGAGAACCACCACTAGCAAATCAAAGGAGACTGAGGTACTTTTGAAATTTAGTAGCCACTTTTCAATTCTTGTAAGTCCTTGACTGGAGATTTGAATATGCAGGGCCGGGTTCGACCACACCTGATTTGTCCATGGGCAAAGTAGGAATAAGTGCTTGGTTGTCTCAACCTGTTGGTTACACAGACTGCAGGTGGGTTCTTGAACAATACTCCTTTTAAATAAATTTTCCTTGGTAGGCAAAGCATTTTGGCACATTTCCCACAAGAAAAATCTGATTTTTGGAATGGTTTTTGCCTGCCAAATCCTTGTCCATAGTTTTCGAGGGGTCTGATACGAAGTGGACGCTAAAGTTGCGATCTGTTTCTCGGTTTCTCCCCTTAGTTTGTTGTACCCACTCTTAACTGTATAGGACCCTGATCTAGTGTTGTTCCAAACCAACTTATCCTCCGTTAGTTAAGATCGCAATGGAATTGAGAGGATTTCATTGGAGGTTTGTTCATCAAATAGAGCATGTAGGGTTTGTGTATTCCACGTTGAATCTTGCTTTTGTATCAAATCAGCTACCTGCTCAGGCTCTTCTCTGTTTGGTGGTCCTCCTATAATTCCTCTGGGTAGCCATTTATCCTCTCTAATTCTAATCTTTTCCCCATTTCCAACTGACCACATAATGGAGGGAAGAATAGCATCGCTGCCCATTAGGAGGCTTCGCCACCCCCAAGATGGCTGTGTCCTCTTACCAGCATGTCTGAAATCACAATGAGGGAAGTAGAGTCCTTTAAGTGCCCGACTCCACAAAGATGTTGGGTTTTGAGTCAATCTCCAGGCTTGTTTCCCCAACATAGCCTTATTAAAAGTGATGAGGTCTCTAAAGCCCAATCCTCCATTATCCTTTCTAAGTTTTAGCACATTCCATTTTCTCCAATGCAATCCTGATTTGCTTGCCCCATTTCTCCACCAAAAAACAACAATTTTCTGCTCAATAACACGACAAATGGAGATAGGAACTTTAAAGATGGACATAGCATACTGTGGGAGAGCTTGAACCACTGCTTTAATGAGGATTTCTTTTCCTGCTTTAGATATCAACTTTTCTTTCTAGCCTTCTAGCTTCATATTGACTCTCGCCATAATCCACGCAAACATTTGCTTCTTTGACTCACCCCAGTCAGAAGGAATTCCCAAAAACTTGCCAGTTTTCTCTATAATCGGCACTCGCATCTCCGCAGCCATATTCTGCCTCAATCTCTGTGGGCAATCTTTACTACCAAACAATCTAGATTTATTCAAATTAATAGCTTGACCCGAGGCATAGGAGTATTGATTCAAGATTGCAGCTACACTTTGGCACTCATTAATTGTTCCATCCAGGAAGAAGATTGAGTCATCCGCAAAGAGTAAGTGGTTCAAAGTTGGGCATTATCTATTTAACTGTATTCCTTTGATAATCCCATTCTCCAGTGCATTTTTCATCATAAAGGATAATACATTCACCACAATGATAAATAAATATGGAGAGAGTGGGTCACCTTGGCGGAGACCTCTTGAGGGATGAAAATAGAGCAGTGGTTCTCCGTTCAACTTTACACTATAAGACACAATTGTGATGCATTGCATAACCCATCTGACCCATTGAGCACTGAATCCCATTCTGAGCAAGCAAGCTTCCATAAAATCCCATTCGACTTTGTCAAATGCCTTTTTCATATCAAGTTTAAGGACATCCAGGAACTTCTTCTTTCTCTTTCTAATTCTGAGCTGATGTAGCACTTCCTGGACAATTAAAATGTTATCCTGAATCTGTATGCCACTTACAAATGCACTCTGCTCTTTCGAGATGAAGTTTGGCATTCATGGTTTCAGTCTATTCGCCAAGACTTTTGAGATGATTTTATAAGCAAAGTTACATAAGCTAAGGGACGGTATTGTTTCAGCTTCTCCGGATTAGGGATCTTTGGGATAAGTGATATATGCGTTCTATTTAACTCTGGGTTGAGAATCCCAGAGTTTAGAAATCTTTGTACTTCTTTGAACACCCTTGTTTTAGATCTTCCCAGTGATGATTGTAACGACCCGGTCCGACGAGGGCGGGGAGTGGTCGCCGGGGCCAGAGGGCCTAGACAAGGAGCGGCTCCTGGCAGGCTTCTAGGATGGCAAGGAGGGGCATGTCTCTTGTCCCACATCGCTTAGGGGGGGAGTCCTGGGCTAGTTTATAAGGCTTGGGTTCTCTACTCTGTGTAACGCGTTTTAAAGCCGTGAGGGTCAGTGGGCCCAAAGCGGACAATATTACACAGTGTAGACCCCGGGTCCTTACAAATGGTATCGAGCCGACTCCGGCCGCGTGTGGGGCCACAGCGAGAGACACGTGCTCGAAGGAGGGGAGAATGTAACAACCCGGTCCGACGAGGGCGGGGAGTGGTCGCCGGGGCCAGAGGGCCTGGACAAGGAGCGGCTCCTGGCAGGCTTCTAGGATGGCAAGGGGGGCATGTCTCTTGTCCCACATCGCTTAGGGGGGGAGTCCTGGGCTAGTTTATAAGGCTTGGGTTCTCTACTCTGTGTAACGCGTTTTAAAGCCGTGAGGGTTAGTGGGCCCAAAGCGGACAATATTACACAGTGTAGACCCCGGGTCCTTACAATGATGGTAGAATTTCCCATGTAGTCCATCAGGCCTGGTGCTTTAGTGGCACCCAGTTGATGAGCAGCTTCTGTAACTTCCTTCATTGTCAGTTCTGCAGTTCAGACTTGGTTTATCTCCTCTCCCACTAAGTTAGGAACAAACTCCATTATAGGTTCAAAATGTCGAGGGCCCTCAGAACTGTACAAAGTTATGAAGAAATCCATTGTCTGCTGTTTTAGTTGACCTAATTCACATAGCCAAACCCCTTATGAGTTTCTCAACATTGAGATCTTGTTCCGTTGCCTTCTCTGTATTGTAGTGGTATGAAAGTATTTTGTATTTTTATCCCCCCACTTTAGCCAGCTCATTCTCGATCGCAAATCCTAGTACATCTCCTCTTGTATCCATATCTTCTCTATTTCCTTTTTTAGGTACCACACTCTCTCTTCATCAATGAGGACTGTTTTGCTGCTAGTAAGTTCCTGAATTTCTTTCTTCATGGTCCGGATTCCCTTTTTTGCATTTGAGAATTTCGTCCTACTCCACTCTTGCAGAGCTTTTGAAACTATTTATAGACGTCTGGATAGTTCCTCATTTTCTAGTTCAGAGGAATGCCAACTATTTCTAACAATCTGCTCACATTCAGCATGTTGTAGCCAAAACATCTCAAGTCCGAATTCTCTTTTCCTTCTCACTGGTTTAGGAAATACAGCAATAAAGGACTATGGTTTGAGCCAACTGCTGGGAATGCAAATGCTTCAGCGTTGGGGAAGCTAAATCTCCAATCCATGGTACATAACACTCTATCAAGTTTCTCCTTAACAAAAGCCTCTCCTTCCTTGTGATTAGACCATGTGAAAGCACAACCTTTACTCTCCATATCCATTAACGTGCAAGCATGTAGGCAATCTCGAAAAGCATTGAGTCTATAATTTTCGGCCATGCGTATCCCAACCTTCTCCCAATGATGAAGAATCTCATTGAAGTCTCCGATGCAAGCCCAAGGGAGGTGGTTCATGAGACTAATGTCATGTAATTTGTCCCATAAGAGTACTCTCTCATTAAACTGCGATGGTGCATGAACGAAGGTAAGTCACATCTTCTGTTTACTCTCCTCTATCACACACTCTACATCTATAAAAAAATTCTGAGTGTGAATCCACTTTTAAAGAAACTTGGTCGTTCCAAAAAATAGCCATACCTCCTGCAATACCCACTGGATTTACTATGAAGCAACTCTGAAACTGTAGCTGTCTTTTTATTTGATGAAGCATTTGTTCCTCATTTTTAGTTTCCATCAGAAACACCAAACTAGGCCTTTCTTGAGCCATGAGGACTCTAAGTTCTCGAATTGTCAGTGGTGTGCCCAACCCCTGACAGTTCCAACATATAAGATTCACTTGTAACCTGGTGGCTTATTAGGGCTAGCCACCAAAGCCCATTCACTTGCTTCTGCTACAACATGAATAGGAGTTTCCATCAAATTTGTCTCATCCATGGCATGTTGATTTGCCATCTTGGAATCATAAGGGCTGTAACGCCGCTGTTTTTTTTTGGTCTGAAGCTATGGTCCCTTACTTTTCTTCTTCTGTCTTCCCTCTACAGATTGTTCCACAGCAGAGATTATGGACTTTTGTACCTGCACAGGAGCTGGAAGTAGAAGTGGTGCCAATGCAGATACATGGTCTTGTTGGTTTAGAGAGCTACCTTCCCCTATAAATACACCTTTTCCCTTGCTCTGTTTTTGGGTATGATCCTGAGTTTCCAACCTGCTAGTACCCTTGTTAGAAGGCACCATTAGAGTAGTGTAGACTAGAGTTTCAGGGATAAAATCTTCTGTCATTCTCTCTTCCTCCAACTCCCCATTAAATATCTTCCAATGTGGACTCCACTCTTTCTCTTCAGCTCTTAGTCAGCTCCCAAAGCGACATTCATCCATCTTTCCCTCATCAAAGGCTACTTCTTCACAAAATTTGGCATAGTGTTCTATCGTTCCACAATCATAACAGAAGTGGGGGAGCCTCTCATACCTGAAATCTAACCAAAATTTCCTATCTCCATTATCGGTAAGAATTCCAGACTTGAGAGGCTTAGATAAGTTCAGAGTTATTCTCGCTTTCCCTGTATTTTGGGAACTAGGACCTTTAGAGATTACTCGAACCTCTGAGACTTGTCCGCTAAATTTTGCTGCTTCATTCACTGCTTCTTCATATAGCCATTCATACGAGAACCCATGGATTTGTTCCCAAAATGAGCAGAAGTTAAACTCATATTCATGTGTTAGCATATTCGGTTCCCAGGGTTTGAGAATTAGAAGATGATTCACAAAGGACCACGGACCATTATCAAGCACCCTTTTCTTCTCTATTTCGGATTTGAACATTACAGCAAACATACCAGCATCCAGATCTTGGAAAGTGGCAGAATCAGACCTCCATGCCCTTCGCATTGTATTTTGGAAGGCTTGAAAGCTGATGCTCGGATTATTAAAGATTTTCCCAAAAATGGTCAGATTACATTATTTCAATTTTTCTAGGGAAAACTACCCCTTTCATAATAGCAATATCCGAATCTGACCATAACGAACCTAGGCTCTTACAAAGGGCAGCCATTCGAGTTTCTTCATCGTTGATTTTCTCCATTGTTGCTTTATAGGGGAGTCACACCATGGACAAATTACCACTAGGAGAGAAGCAGCATCAACAACGAACACAAAACAGTTAACCAGACATCAATGTGTAAGAAACTTTCCCAGATTCTTACACTAATTTCACTCGGGTATATGATCAAACATGTGGCAAGCGTCTTAGTCGAAAGATTCAGATGCAATGACGAAGCAAAGATTCGGATCATACCACCACGAAATCGTCATGCCTTCCTATGATACAGCGAACACCAAGCACAGGGGAGGAGCAGCATCAACAACGAACACCAAGAACCGGACCTTGTTTGTATTGTAGCAAGTTACAAAGCTGTTGCCGAGGGGACCAGTGAGCCATTATGCAAGTTGAGTTGCAAATTCGCCCGACAAACATGGAGAGAGAACAGCGCTAGGGGGCCCAAATTCGACCTCCAAAGACTCATCCTCGCTGGTCATTCATCAGTTAGTGGGCGTCAGACCTTTAGATGGGAATGTGTATTTCTGGGTTTCTAGATTTCTTTGTGGGTAATGGGAAGAAATGGAGGTGTGATGTTAGGGTAAAACAGGTTAGGAAGAGTTAGGGTTCTGGGAAGGGAAGGGATTTGGGTTAGTTATCACCAATGGGATAGGGAAGAACTCTTACCGGAGAAGAGAGAGAAGCCCTAATGAGAGGGCAACGATCTATTGAATTTGATTCATTGTTTGATTAAATACCATGTCGGAATAGTTAAAGCCTAACGGTTGATTATGTTCTTTTTGTGAGCTCCATGAGAGGTGCCCACACGACGAAATGGATCCAATTCAGTGGACTCTGTCTATGCTAGAATTTTTCCTTGTTGCATAGAAAATACTGGATCTGAGTCTACTGAATTTGATTTATCTCAGCTGTTGATCATATGGGTCCCATGTGAACCCTACGTATGAGACCGATGTATCCAATGAATGAGATGGACGCAGACTGCATTCAGACAGGAAACTCCCCTGGTGCCAGGCATCTCTGACATCAAGATGCGTATCCATGAAAAGAGATTGGATTCCACCGTCCTACGAATTTGCTGTCTTTACAACTGAATGGCACTAAACCCATGAAAAAACTCAAAGTACACTGAACCAACTTCTGTATGTTGATTCCTCAAAGATCATGCTTCTCCGAGAACATTACACAATCAAAATCTTGCAACTTCTGTTTTCCCTCATGAAGGTCTGTTTTGGTGTTCTCTCGCCGAGGAAAGCTCGGGGAATGAACATACATGATTTTAACATACTACTATGGAAAATTTGAAAACAAAGAGAAAATTTCCCACTCGGACGTCTTCCCTTCTATACAGATGGAATGAATATAGTCGAGGTTAACAACTCATATGTTCAATATCAAAAGGATGCGAATTACAAACTTGTATGTAAATTGTCGTCAGATGACTAAGATGATGTTCTGACGAAATTGATTGACAAATATGTATGCAGTATAATATCAGCAATAATAAATAAAAGTTTAGGAATAGAGAATACTGCACACAGATTTTTATAGTGGTTCGGCTTTATCATGCCTACGTCCACTTTCCACGCTGGCAGCCTGTTGGTTGTGTTTCACTATTGAATTACCAGAAGATTACAAGAGCAGTGCTTCTCAGATGATAAACTGCACTATCACGTACACTCTTCACTCAAGTAATTTTCTTTCTAAAGTCACAACGTGGAATACAGTAATCATAAGTGTGTAAGATCGAAGCTCTATTCAGACTTTGAAATTCTCGATTCTGGTTCTTATTTCTTGTACAACGTTTGCACTCCTTTTATACTCCTCTACTTCCAATCTATCCGTTGGACAGTCTTCAGAGGATTGATCTCCAAATCAACCCGTTGGAGAAACTTCCCAAAATAGGATGCATAGTCGTTAGAAAAAAAACCATTATCTCCGAGTAATTTGATCGCCCATACAATCAAATCAAGGTTTCCATAAGTGTAGTTCTTCGTGTTTAATGAACGATCTTGTGATTGCCCATTAGGATATCCTGGGATATCAATTTGATTGTTGTGCATAAACTTGCCAAAAATAACACTAATTGAATTTGACGAGTAATTTTGAATCTGATGACAAAGTCCTTTCATTGACTAAGTCTGATGACTCAGCATTTACCTGCATCAAATAACCTAAGTGTAATTCTGGTCAGTAACAGATAGTTTTGTCATTCCTCAAAACTCATTAGGGATTTTTCTCAACATTCTCCCCCTTTTTGATGATTACAAAACTGTCTATATGCGATGTAAATAGTCTATTCAGATGATATAACTTTCGAAGTATATAAAGCATTGTTAAAGCATTGTTAAGCTCTGAAATCAATATATATCAATTCATATTCTGCCGCTTCCATACTTGCATTCACATCTTCTGTCGCTATAATAGTTCTCCCCCTTTTTGACATCAGCAAAAAGGATAGATAGCATAATCAATAAAAATGCAGTAAAAGTAAGTCGAACAACCATTGTCGAATCATATGTCAATAGTCAAGGTTCATACCAAGTCAAACATTTAACAAAAATCAATATGGAAAGTTGAAATAAATAGCTCAGAAATGATAAGTTGGGAAGAGATGTGATCAATTTGGCTGATTTGCTAGAGGGGTGGAGGGTCCTGCGGGTTCAGATGAAGAAGTTCCAAAAGGTGCAGATAGGAAAGGCACTTGGACAAGACTGAAGCTAGAAAGTTGGTTTAATCGTTGCTTAATATGAGATGAGAGCTGATGAATCAGGCCTGCAGTGTTAATTGCTGCAATTTGTACATCGGTTCTAACTTGAATCTTAAAATTATTGATTCTTGCTTCCATCAAGTCCTGGATCTCCTGAATTCCTTCTTTAAGTTCATTGCGGAGTTCCCGGACTTCATTCTGAACTGCAGCTTGTCTCCATCTTAGATTGGTAATGGCTGCATGGTCTGACATGGATGAGGACATATTGTATCCAAAAGGAGTGTGAGTGGTCTGAATGTCAACAGATGCTGCTTCCTTCCCTTTGCCTCTCTGTTGAGCTTCAGATGGACTGTTTTCACAATCATCTCCTTCAAAAGGAAATCTGCAGAAGTTGCTGCTGAAGGAGCTACCTCTTGTGCATTCTGATTGTGGTCCTCCTGTATGTTAGGCAGATTAAAGTAATTATCCTCAACATCTTGAGCATTTTCTTCCTCAAATTCCTCATGCATATCAGCTAGATTAATGCTATTTTCCTCATCATTGTGAGCATTTTCTTGCTCAAACTCCTCCTGTATTTCAGCGTCATGGTCATGTTCAAACTCCCCCTGTCTCCTAGAGGATCCTTCCTTAGCTTCTTTTTCTGCAGTAGCCATGTGTTCTTGCTGATTTTCCATGACTAGTTTGTTGATGATGTCACTTAGTGATTTCATCAAGTGTTCCTCCTCATCTCGCAGTTTCTGAATTTCAAGCTGAGTGGCAGCATGTCTGTCTGCACGGGCTTGATGCTTGGCATCTTGAATAATTAGACATTGCATAAACCTTGACTCCTCAAGGCTCCTATCATCAGCTTGAGATTGTTCAGCAGATTGTTCATCGGATATTTCCATCTCATTAGAATCACTGGCCACGGCTTGAGTTCTTTTGGCTAGTCTGTTAGTTCTGAAGGCTGTCGGCTGCACTTTCCTCTTTCTTACTAAGGGTTCAATTGATTCCTTCTTATCAGACTCATGAAAAATGTTAACAGAACCCTTGTTCTGTGCACTCATCATTTCGGTAGGAATAATCTTACCCTTCTTATCTTTCCAATTTTTACCATCAAATCTGTATCCCATCTTAGTCATCATGAGTTCTCCAACAGTCATAGTTTGAAGAGGTTTACCTTTGAGTTTTGTAGGAATGGAGATTTTCAAATACTCAAAGATAGCAGTGATCAAAGCTCCATGAGAGAGTTGACCTTTACTCTTCTTTACAGTTCTATACATTTGAAGAATAATCATATGGGACAGAGAAATGGGAAAGGTGGTTTGAATTGCCCAAATCAACTTGGCCTCATATCGAGAGACATTAGTTTTGGAAGATCCTTTGGGTCTGAGACAATTGATGATGATTTTGTGGAGGACAATGGAATTTAGAGGAAAAAGAGTGTGAGATACATGAGATGTGGAGCCTCTGATGAAAGATGAGTAACTAGATAGAGATCGATATGCCAAATCTGAAGTGATAGGAATAAAAGAAAATTCTGTATGTTTTACTCCTAGAATGGCAGAGAGATCAAAGGTTGATAACTTGTAATCTTGTTGAAAAACAGAGAACTCAATTTCAGTAGGAGAAATGAATGATAGATTTGAATAAAAGTAAGCTGTGAGTTCAGGGTAGACTTTGTAAGAGAGGAAGCACATTCTTTGAAAATCAAGATTTTTAATCAGACTCTGAGGCTCCGTTCGTTTGACGGAAAATATTCTCCTTTTGGATAATATTTTCTCGGAACATAATTTTCTGGTGTTCGGCGATCAATATGAAAAAGTTTCGGAAAATATTTTTCGCCAGCGACTGGCGACCGGCGGCGGCGGCTGCCAGGGCGACGGCGACTGGGCCGGCGGCGTGTGGCGGCCGGCGACCGACGGCCAACGTTCGGCGTCCGCGGTGGCGGCGGCGGCAACGGCGACCGACGGCCAACGTCCGGCGGCGGCGGCGGCGACCGCGGCCGGAGACCGGAGGCCGGCGACCGGAGGCGGCGACCGGGCGGTGGCGGAGGCGGCGGTGGCCGGCGACCTTAGTGAAGAAGAAGAAAAAGAAGCTCCGGAAAATGATTTCCGCTTTTGAAGAAGCGGAAGTCATTTTCCGTAGACTTAGGCTATTTTGTGAGGGGGGAAGGAAAATATTTTCCCACGGAAAACGTTTTTCGCCCCCCGAACACTGGAAAATCCGGAAAATATTTTCCGGGAGAATATTTTCCGCCAAACGAACGGAGCCTGCATCTTGATTTTGAAATTCTCAAAGAAGTTAAAGTCTATAACTCTGTTATTCATTATTCCTTTGGCTAGGAGCGAATTGTAAGCAACCTTAAGAGTTTTGTTTCGAAACAGACTATCGTTTTTCTTATCATAAGGAGGAATTCCAGAAATGGGCACAAACTCAGCAAATAGTTTCTCATCATTATCCTCCTTCCTAGTATCAATGTTTTTGCTTTTCTCCAAAGTCTGCAGTTCCTCCTCACCAACGAATTCATCTCCTCCGACATTCGAATGTTCTTCTACTTTCTCTTTTCCTTTTTGAAAAACTCCTTTCTTTACAGTCACAGGAGTTTCCTGAACATTAGAGGTTTCTTTAAGAACTATCCCCTTTTCAGCAACATGTGATCTTCCAAGCCTTATACCCTTTTCATATTCCTCCATAACTTCACGTTCAGATAGAAAACCTAATGTTTTACACATGGCATTTACAATACTCTGGTCACTCCGATTTTCTCAAAGTACACTAATGTTTTTTATCAGTCGTCTTGCCATAACAAAACGATCACGTTCTTGAACAGGGATTCGTGGAGATTTATTACCTTCAGATGACTCTTTCTCAGAGCCCGAGTCAGAGATATCAATTTTCTCTGCTTCTCCATCTTTGTCTGCTCTGGTGAACATTCCCACGATACGGTTCGATCGTCTGGAACCCTTGATTCCTTTCTTTGATTTAGTGGTCGATTTCGGTGCCATTGAAGAGATTTTTGAGTTTCCGAA